TTTCCTTTTAAGATGGTACATGATTTCATAGGCAATCATTACAGTATCCATAATTGCCCGACCAGGAACAAATGCACTTTGACAATCCGAAATCACATTAGATAAACAAGACTTCATTCGATTTGCTACGACTTTACTAACAATCTTATCAACCACATTGCACAAAGAGCTTGGACACAAATCATAAACTAACTTTGGATTACCCTTCATCGGGATTAATATAATGCTAGTGTCATTATTTCCTGGCAAATTTAGATTATGGTTCAAAAAAGCAAGGTAAGCACTAGTCATATCTTCGCCAACAATATGCTAGAAAGCTTGATAAAATCCTAGGTTCATGCCATCCGGCCCTGCCACTTTATCTGGATGCATCTCCTTCTCTACCGCATGAATCTCCTCAATCGTAAATGATCTAGCAAGCACCTCATTTTACTCTACTATTAGTTTTGGCTACACACAGTCAAGAATAGTCTCCACATCACCCTGTTCAGATTTGAAAAGTGTATCAAAATAATCTAAAATGTGATCCTCCAAACCATTTTCCCATGAAAGCCATGACCCATCCGCCCTTTTTAACTGCACAATCAAATTCTTTTTTCGTCTAACTGAGCCATAAAATGGAAATATTTTGTATTTCGATCCCCTTCTTGTAACCAATATTGCTTAGCTCTTTGTCTTTAATAAATCTCTTATTGTTTTAATAAAAGAGAATAAGCATCTGCTGCTATTTGTAACAACTGAACGGACACAATATCTATTTTGGTTCTATAGCGAGCCATCTGAGAACGAGCCTCCTTAATCTTCAACTTAAATTTTGGCACCCCAACCCTCAACCCATTTAGAAAGTTGTCAACCACAACACTCAATCTAATCTTGAAGAGGTCGACCATCTCCTTTACTCCACCCTTTACGAACCACTTCTTCCACATCAACTTCCTTTAACCATGAATTCTCAAACCAAAAAGCCTTCCTTGCATACCGAATAATATTAATCCCTAAGTTGACAAATACAGGGATATGATCACTTGCTGTTGTTTCCAGATGGTAAACTTGTGCTTCCGAAAATAATAAATTTCAGTCCAATGAGACAAGGGCCCTATCCAATCTTTCACACACCCACCTAGCTGTATTACACTTCGTTCCCAAGTATATAACCTCCCACATAACCCAAGTCCAGCAATTCACATTTATCAATGACTGTTCAGAAATTACGAATGAGCCAAAGAGGATGACCATAAACTCCACGCTTCTCAGACATGTCTAGGAGCTCATTGAAGTCCCCCGCAGCTACTAATGGTAAAGCTGATTTTGATCTTAGTGTTTCCAATAACCTTCATGATTCATGACATCGGCTTCTATTTGGTTGCCTATAAAAGCCTACAAAATGAAATTGAGGTATACTCTACACAGTAACTTTAACATCAATGTGACTTTGACTAGAGCTAAATAACGAAACCATGGGCCTTTCTTTCCACATCAAAGCCAATCCACCACCATGACCAATATAAGGGATCACATAAATTCCTTCAAAACCCAATAACTGCCTAACCCGATCAACTCTATTAAAACCAATAAACCTCCATCAAAAACACCAAATTGGGCCGCTTTAAGGATACTAAATCCTTTAATTCATTAATTGTATGTGGGTTCCTAAGCCCACAACAGTTCCAACAAATCGAACTCATTTATCCAAGCGGGCCTGGGAACTAGAACTCGCCTCTAATGAGTTTTGAAAGCCCATTATTGGACTCTCCAACCTCTACAATCTACTCCTTTCCTTATTTGTTCTCCTCCTTTTTGGATCAAAAATAGCTAAAGCATCATTTCCAACTTCACTACTGCTTGTGGGTCCCATATTTTCCTTACCATGCACAGCACAACTTGAGATAATCCTATACGAGAAAAATGACTTATTCCTAGGAGTTTTAAGAGTTTGGCTAAGACTCAAGGGTTGACGTGATGTCTGATCAGACTCCATTGGAATTGCTTCCCCACCACCATCGCGGGTTCCACCTTGCATATCGGCTTTCGATAAGAGCCATTTAACTCCAATATTAGTAATGTTTCTACTCTCAGCACGCATCCAAGCCCCACAAGCAAACTGTTCCTTCATTATTTCTGGATGATAAAAAATTTTCGAACAAAATTTATCACAATGACCAATGATTCCACAGAAAAAATAGAGCATTGACAAATGCTCATAATTGAATGTAATCCAAAACCATTCTCCCTCGGCTTCTTAATTTGCATCCTCCTCTTCAAAGGCTTATGAATATCCAAGCTAACTCGGATTCTCATGTATTCTTTCCAAGCACCTGAGAAATTCTTAGGATCAACCTCCAAATAGTCTCCAATATAGTTCCCCATATTTTTGCCAAGCTTTTCTGACATAAAGCCAATGGGAGATGGTGAATCTGCAGCCAAAAATCGATCTCTGTCAGCACAATTTGTTTCAGATCACATCCCTCAGGAACTTTTTTAAGAAGTAGTACAAAATTCCAAGGACCCCATTTCAGAACCCTACCTAAATCAATTGGATGCATAAATTGGAACACAAAGGCATTACTCTCTAGATATTTAAACAACATGCCCTTAACAGGCCTCCAAACTGCAACCATAGTATTCTTAAAGGCTATGAAATTCACTAGTTTTTCTGTAAGCAGTCTTCCAACCACACACAAAGGCGAATTAATGAGATTAGACTGTTGGTTGTCCTTTTTCACCTCATACCTTCCCTGTTCCTCTTCCACACACAGGGCCCACATATAATTCCTCAATTGATTGTTGTGTCTTGTTTAACTCCTCCATAATGCCATGCAGAACTAGAATATCCAAGCAAGATAGACAACAAAATAAGCAAGGTTTATGGTGAAACTTGCCACGAAAATAAGAGATTTAGAACTTGTCACATAGTGAACAAGAGATTCTAGGATTTTTAATAAACAAGAATGAAATTTAAGTTAAATAAACATCAAAATAACCAATTTACACCTATAACTATAAATGTCAAAAGAACTCATCTAACTAACTCCGAGCATTACTCTAACATTAAAATGACCTCAAACCATGCAAAAAAAGCCTTAATTTATAAGAGTACAAAATTGAGTAAAATGTCCCTATAACAAAATAGATTAAAAAGTTCAAAACCCAAAAAATTGCATAGTTGACAATGAAGTGTGGAGGCACGTTTGCTACTACGAGCCAAGCCTAAACATCATGGGCGTGTGGGCTTGTTAGCTCACCAAATGACAAGGAAAGCTGCGTGTCCACAAGCCAAACGACATTTGCAAACCACAATCCAAACAACATTCACCTGATCAACAGTCTTCGAACTAATTTTTCAACCTTAAATTTTGTGTTTTCTCTCTCTAATTTTGTGATAAATGCCACAAGCCACATCCTTATGTACTTATAAGGTCATCAAATCCTAAAGAGACTTAAGAAAAGTCCGAAATTCCCCTCCTTTTAGGTTTTAGATACAAAATGTTACTTATTTTTATCATTTTACATTGTTTATCCATCAATTTTTCAACTTTACTCCTTTAGTCCCCAAAATTAATTTTTTAACTAAACTTATAAAATAAAATCCTATACCTTTCATATTAAATATTATATTAAGATTATCCAAATACAACTGGAAGCAATATATAACAATATTATACTCAAAAAGCTTCGATTAACCTTTATATCACTCACATATATTTAAAAAAAAATACTATTACGTAATATTTTCTTGAAAAAAAACTTTTCTTTGATTGATTCTCATGAGCAAACCATGGCATAAAAAATCCGAAAAATATTTTTTAGATAAGTTATTGTGAAACCCTAGGTTTTTAAGGTGTATTTATAAGGGCAGTTTAATCATACTTTTATGAATTGGCATCATTTCGGACATGGTTTGAAGCCCTTTTAATGTCAGAATGATGTTTGAGTTGGTTAGATGAGTTCTTTTCACATTTACCCTTATAGGATTAAATTGGTCATTTTGATTATGTATAACTTAAGATTCATATTGGGTGAGATCTAAGTGATTTAATATTAATAAAGTGTTTAGAGTTCATTTGAACGCATTTTGATATTCATTTTTCCTATAATGACCATAAGGATATTTTGGTCATTTTAACACTATTACAAGTCGATGTTTAATGCTTTATAGTGAATTAAAACATAATGAAATTTGGAAAACAATTTGGGGTAAGTATGATATGACATGATATGGTCACAAGGCTATTTTAGTAATTTTAAATGCATTATAAATTTTTTACATTTGATGAAAATTTGATTAATTAAATATTTAAATTGAAGTTGGAGTCTATCTTGATGCATTTTGTTCATTAATTTGTTTTATATCGAAGACAAAAGAATTTTGATAATTTCATATATTTAAAGGATATTCGAAAATGAATTTAATATATATTTTAAAAGAAAATGACTCGGTCATCTTCATAAGTAGAAAATATTTTATGGACATTAATAAATTTATTATAACTTCATAAAAATACACATTTATTGATATTCTAAATAGTGGTATACACCATCAATAGTTACATTACATTACTAACAATCTATTCCCGATAAGTGGCTACCACAATTTATAATTTCTTTCTTCATATTTACAATCAATTTTTTAAATTTAAAATTTTTAAATTTTATAAGTTAAAAATTTTAATATTTCTTAACTTATTTAACATTATAGTCAAAAAATAAAAATTAAATTATGATATAAATATTTTACTTAAAAATTATTTTCCAGAAACAACTGGATATAATTCAGTTAGTGGTCGCTCCTATAGTTATGACCACAAATCCTTCGCTCCTATAGTTATGACCACAAATCCTACCATCATCGATCATCATTCTCAAAATCCTTAACGACAAGGCCATGACTCCAAATATCACATGTAACACTGACCGGTATCCGCTTCTCCCCTCAGCCAAACGCAATAATCAAAACAGTATCTAGGAAAAGCCAACCATGTGAAGCCACGTGTAGCGCACGTGCTGCACTCTTTCATATGAAATATTTAAGACCGTTTAACCCTAAACTGAACCAAAGTCAGCAATTAGCTAATTACCTAAACTTAACCCTAGCCCACAGCCCACTACTAACATCTGCCGGTTTTTTGCAATTTATCTTAGCCGCTCCCGATTTAATCGGCGACCCTTTCCTGGAAACTCCTTGCTCCTTTTTTTCACTTTCCTTCCTAATTAAAATTCAGCTGAAATTCACTCCAAATAAATCCCAACCCCAAATGCAACCCAAATTAAATCATCTCCTCTCTCTCTCTTATCCTCCCATCTTCTTCCACCTCACCATCACCCTTTACTCGCTTTTCTTTTTCTCTCTCTGAAATCTGATTTCCTTCAGCATATTTCTGGCTTTCTTTCCTTCCGTTCTACTATACCGGATTCTGTTTATGGAATGACGGACTATCGAATAGCATCGACGATGAATCTGTGGACAGACGATAACTCATCCGTCATGGAAGCTTTCATGAACTCGGATCTCTCGGCTCTCTGGCCGCCGCCGCAGTCGGCTGCTTCCACTTCTACCCCTGCGCCACCAAGCGCCGACCCCAACAAGACTGTAATCAACCAATCTCAGCCTATCTTTAATCAGGAAACGCTGCAGCAGCGACTCCTGACCTTGATCGAAGGGGCCAGAGAGAGCTGGACCTACGCTATATTTTGGCAATCGTCGTATGATTATAACGGTTCGGTGCTAGGTTGGGGTGATGGGTACTACAAAGGAGAGGAGGATAAAGGCAAAGGCAAATCTAAAAGTACGAGTTCTTCTGCTGTAGAGCAGGAGCACCGTAAGAAGGTGCTCCGCGAGCTTAATTCGTTGATCTCAGGTTCTAATACGGTCACCGACGATGCGGTTGATGAAGAAGTCACTGATACTGAGTGGTTCTTTCTTGTTTCCATGACTCAATCATTTGTTAATGGAGGTGGGCTTCCGGGTCATGCTTTCTTCAATGGGAGTCCGGTCTGGGTTGCTGGGTCTGACCGGTTATCTGCATCGCCATGTGAGCGGGCTAGACAAGGTCAAGTTTTTGGGTTACAGACGTTGGTTTGTATCCCATCGGCAAATGGAGTTGTCGAACTTGGTTCAACGGAGCTGATTTATCAAAGCTCGGATCTGATGAATAAGGTTAGGGTTCTGTTTAATTTCAATAGTGTTGAGGTGGGTTCATGGCCGATGGGAGCAAATCCTGACCAGGGGGAGAACGATACTTCCTCTCTTTGGATCAGTGATCCATCGCAAAGTGGGATTGAGATGAAAGATGGAAATAGTACAGTTCCATCATCAGTTTGCAATAATACTAACAATAGCAATAACCAGAATGGCTCGAAAGGAATTCCGTTGGGAAATCCCAATTCGAGCAGCTTAACTGAGACCCCTAATATGCAACAAAATCACCAGCAGCAAAATCAACAACAAATGACGCAGACACAAAGCTTTTTCACTCGCGAATTGAATTTTGGGGATTATAGTGGTTTTGATGGAAGTAGTGCTAGAAATGGGAATTCTAATTTGTTGAAGCCAGAATCAGGGGAGATATTGAATTTTGGGGAGAGTAAAAGAAGTTCTTGTAGTGCCAATGGAAATTTCTTTTCAGGTCATTCACAGTTTACTGCAGAGGATAATAATAACAATAATAGTAATAAGAAGAAAAGATCTCCCACTTCCAGAGGTAGTAACGAAGAAGGAATGCTTTCCTTTACTTCTGGTGTGATCTTGCCTTCTTCTGGTGTGGTGAAATCTAGTGGCGGTACAGGAGATTCAGATCATTCTGATCTTGAAGCCTCTGTAGTTAGAGAGACGGACAGCAGCAGAGTTATAGAGCCCGAAAAGAGGCCGCGAAAGCGGGGAAGAAAGCCAGCAAATGGAAGAGAAGAACCGTTGAATCATGTTGAAGCAGAGAGACAACGAAGAGAGAAGCTCAATCAAAGGTTTTATGCATTGCGAGCTGTGGTTCCGAATGTGTCCAAGATGGATAAAGCTTCACTCCTTGGCGATGCAATTTCTTATATAAAGGAGCTTAGGACAAAACTGCAAACTGCAGAGTCCGAGAAGGAGGAGCTAGAGAAGCAAGTGGAGTCAATCAAGAAGGAGTTTGCAAGTAAAGATTCGCGTCCGGGGCCACCTCCTCCCGATCAAGAACTCAAAATGTCAAGTGGCGGAAGCAAATTGATAGAAATGGATATTGATGTTAAGATAATTGGATGGGATGCAATGATACGAATCCAATGTTGCAAAAAGAATCATCCAGCAGCTAGACTAATGGCAGCTTTGAAAGAGTTAGACCTTGATGTTCACCATGCTAGTGTATCAGTAGTGAACGATTTGATGATCCAGCAAGCCACAGTTAAAATGGGGAGTCGGTTTTACACACAGGAGCAGCTCAGGTTAGCTTTATCAACCAAAGTTGGTGACACCTGAAATCCTTGGAAGTAAAATAGTGCAGCAAGAAAATCTGTTACCGGTGGAATAAGATTATAGGAAGTTGAATTTAGGGTTCTGGGACATTTTAAGGCTCCCGGCGGCACAAGCTCTGTACAATAGTATTTGTTTCCTAGTTATTCCATGGTATATATTGTAGTTCAATTGGAGTTTGAGCTAAGTTGATTCTTAACGGAGGAGGAGCTGAACTAACAATGCTATTTAGGTCTGCAAGGCTCCAAGCGAAAGAAGATGGCTGGCTGGCTGGCTATTTTTGTGTTGGGTTTTTTTGCTTGTTATTAATGTTGGTCCTTGATGATGTATATAGTTCTTAAATTATGGGGTATTATGCATTAATGCATATGTGTATCAGTGATGTAGAAACTATAAAGTTTCCTGTTTTTCGAGGATAGAAATATGCCTACATGTTTCATACTAGTGGTGTGTTTTGTCTTTCCTTTTTCAGTTGAAGCTCTTAGATTTAAACTGCACTTGCATCTTCCATATTTGATTAAATGTCTAAATCTGTAAATGCAATGTCTAAAATTCTCTCTTTTCTTGGACAATTCTATTTTTGGTTCCTTTCCATGGCCACCCTTCACCTCCTCTTTGTTGCTGAATCCTCTTTTACCAATTTTTCTTGAATGCACTTGAGCTCCCCTTTTCTGGTTGGATGCACCTCAACTTTTCTGGACTGCAAGAAATTTCAAAGATTGGAACCTGGAAATTAGGTCATAGTTTCATATCTTTTTTACCCATCAACGCTTTGTTTAAATTATTTTTCTATTAACACTGTAGACCACGTAATATAGACCAATCAATTCACAGTTATGGGTTTCAACCATTCTATTTAAATAAAATGATTGGTTCAAACAATTTTATTTTAACAAATAAAACTTCATTTGCGATTATTAAATTTATTGGATATATTCTCAGGTATCGATGTGTTTCGGTCTAATACTGTTTTTCTAGAGATAATGAGCTTGCTGGACTGGTTGGACACTATTCTTTGACGCCTTTTGTTTATAGAGATGTGCGCTTGGTGGACAAATTACAGCGACAAAATAGAAAAAAAAAAAAAAGAAAAGAAAGGAATTCAATTTCATCACGTTTTTTTAATGTATGGCCTATGAAAGCATGTAGTAGGGCCTCTCGCTGAATTTTGTGGACTGAGCTTGCGTTTGGCTTGACATGATAAATAAATATATATTATTAAAAGAATTTCATAAATTTTAGATATTTTATAACCTGTATATAATTAATTATTTTCATATATTAAATATTAATAAATATTTAGATAGCCTGTAAAAAAATATATATATTTATTTTATATATAAATTGCATATATGTTACTGTGCAAGTACTTCTTTAATTTTTTTTTTTTTTTTATATTATGCATAGGTTGCACATTGACTAGGCTTTTCCCAGCTGATTGAACTTATTCACGTTTATTCTATCACAAATGCATATAACACTGAACTCGAGAAAATAGTTCTCTCTCTAAAAAAAAATAAAAAAGAAAAATCCGAAATGGTTGGCGAATTGGAAAAAGGAGTAATTATTGTCCTCGTCTAACCCCATGTGCTTATGTCCTTTTCACTGTTATTATAATTTTATTTTGGAAGGCAGAGTTATAATAATTTGCGCTTATAATAATACTTCCTCTTTTCTTTTCTTTTTTTTCTTTTTTCAAAACATTCTTTTTTTTTTTTTTTTGAAAGGAAATGTATTCATTACTGCAAGTCTGCAAGCAAGTCTGCAAATAAGGCTTCAACAAGAAAAGAAGAGCGAGAGGAACCCATCCGATAAGACCAGACATAGAATAAACTTTAGTTGCTAATTGATGAAAAATGCTATTCGCTGACCTTTTCATTAAACATACTTTAACAATCTAAAGGAACATAATTGAAATATGACCTATCATGAGAGCTGAGATGCATAGCCTGAACAAGGAGAAAGGGATCTAACTCGAAAATAACATTTTCCAGGCCTTTTTGTTTTACCCAACTAAGGGCCTCTCTAAATGAAAGAGCTTCGGCAATCTGAGGATAGGGCCCCCAATATCTGATTTTGACAAGCAAATAAGAGATCACCCCAGGCAGTTCTAATCACCCAACCAACAGCCACCTGAGCAGAATTGGGACGCATAGATGCATCAATATTACACTTGAGAAATCCTTTAGGAGGTGGGGACCTGTTACCAAGCCTCTGTAGGTTTGCACCCGTTTCAGTCATGGGCCTAAGTCTAAACAGCCACATATTGAATTTCTGAATTAGTCAAATGTTTCAGTTATTTGTTTCAGTTATTTTCTTTTCATGATTCCTGTTTCGTAGGAGGGAGTTCCTCCTTTTTCTTTCCATGTTCTTGGTTGAGGAGGGTGTTCCTCCATGTAGAAGTATTGCTCGTTTGATGTAGGAGGTAGTTATACCTCACTGCTGTATTTAAATAATAACATCAATGAGAACAAGGGGCTTCAAAAATCAATTAAGTCTTGAGCACTTTAAGTCTCAAGGGATTCCAGGTTCCCTCTTTTAGAGCCTGAATTTTCTGTCACCATAGGTCGTAAAAAGAAAACCCTTAGCCCAAACACTCAAACACCTACCACACCCTTAACCCACAGACCCATAACTAGATCCGTAACTCGGGACCGTAACAGTTTGGTATCAGAGCCAATAGTTATGGGAGACTCTGCTCAAGATCAATTAGCAAAACCCTTTGAATTACTCTTGGCTGAACAGCAGGCTAACAAGGTCCAAAATGAGAAGGTTGAACAATTACATGCCAAACTGGATGCAAATTCACAAGATTTAGAATCCACGAAGAAGGGGCTGTAATCTCCAGGCGCTGAAAGTTAAGCAAAGTCAAGGAGTGATAAGGGAATTTCTGGTGCTTCGGGTTCCGAAAATTCTGGAGGAAGCTCGATTGTACCAAAATTCACAAAGCTTGATTTTCCTCGCTATGATGGGCTGGAAGATCCATTGGCATGGCTTTGTCACTGTCAACATTTTTTCCGGCATCAACAAACACCAGAAGAGGAGAAAGTGAGCCTAGCCTCATACCATTTTGAGGGAATTGCTCAGCTGTGGTATATGCATCTGCTGGAAGATGTGTCGGACCCTAATTGGGATGAATTCACATAACAATGCAATCTTTGCTTTGGGCCTCCAATCAGCAGCAACAAGTTGGGAGAATTGGCGAAGCTTAAACAAACAGGTTCTGTTGTAGAATACCAGAACAAATTTGAAGCATTGGTATCTCGTGCTGGAGCTCTTACACAACATCAGAAGGTGCAGCTTTATCTCAGTGGGTTACAAGACGCAATTGCTGTGGAAGTGGAACTCCACCATCCAAAAGACTTGGTGAATGCAATGAGTATCTCAAGGCTGTACGAACGAAAATTATTTCCACGTTCCGCAGTTGTTAGAGACACTCGTCGCAGCACCTTCACATCAGAATTCCATCAAAACCAATCAGTGAAATGGCTGACTAGGGAAGAGATAGAGGATCGGCGAAAGAAGGGACTGTGTTTTAACTGTGATGAGCAATTTGTTCGCGGCCATCAATGTAAAAAGTTGTTCTGGATAGATTTGGAAGAAACAGATGAGGCGGGAGAAACACTTTCAGATCAGGATCTAGACCCACCCGAAATTTCATTGAATGCCATTACTGGAATTCGAAACCCTCAATCCATGCGTTTGTTGGGTATTTGGAAGGGGAGTCAAGTTCTGATTCTAGTCAACTCTGGTAGCACTCACAACTTTGTTTCTGCATTAAAAGTTGAGGACGTGGATGCTGAAGTGAATGTGAAAAGTGGCTTGAAGGTTAATGTCGCCAATGGAGAAAAAATTGACAGCCTAGGTATATGCAAGGGAATTCCAATTCTATTGGAGTCTAATTCTTTTTTGGTGGATTTATTTGTTCTGCCCCTAACCGATTTTGATGTGGTTTTGGGAGTTAATTGGCTTCGAACCTTGGGATCCATTCTTTAGGATTTTGCTGTCATGAGTATGTCTGTCTTCCAACAGGGACACTTGATAGAACTGCAAGGCATCAATTCTTCATACTCTACAAAGCAGTCGGACCTCAACAGATGCAGATTTCCTCTGTTTCAGATATCCAACCGCAGAAATTATTGGCTGAGTTTGCTTCTTTATTAGTGCTCCAACTGGATTACCTCCCAGCAGAGCCTGTGACCACCGAATTCCTCTGGAACCAGGGGCAAGACCTGTTGTGGTTCGACCTTATCGATATCCACACGGGCAGAAGGACGAAATCGAGAAGCAGTGTGCAACAATGTTACAACAAGGCATAATCCGCCCTAGCAGATCACCTGTCTCTTCACCAGTGATTTTGGTTCCAAAGGCAGACGGTTCTTGGCGTTTATGTGTTGATTATAGGGAGTTAAACGCCAAAACCATCAAGGACAAATTTCCCATTCCGGTGATAGATGAGCTATTAGAAGAGTTGGGTGGAGCTAAATTCTTTACAAAGCTGGATCTTCAATCTGGATACTTTGAGGTTGCCATGCACCCTTCTGATGTCGAAAAAATAGCTTTCCAAACCCATCATGGCCACTTTGAATTTTTGGTGATGCCGTTTGGCCTTTCCAATGCTCCTTCAACCTTTCAAGCTTTAATGAATGAGGTATTTCAACCATACTTGAGGAAATTTATTCTCGTTTTCTTTGATGATATCTTAGTTTTCAGTCAAACATGGGTAGAACATCTCCACCACTTGCGGCTGGTATTTCAGCTGTTGATGCAGAACAATTTATTCCTCAAACATTCCAAGTGTGTTTTTGGACAAACTCCAGTTTCTTATTTGGGCCACATTAATTCCCAAAAAGGGGTGCATGTGGATCAGTCCAAAACTAGTCGTGGGTTAAGAGGATTTCTAGGGCTAATGGGTTACTATCGAAAATTTGTACAAAACTATGACATCATCGCCGCGCCACTCACGACTATGTTAAGGAAAAATGGGTTCGCTGGACAGAAGAAGCCATCTCTGCTTTTGAAAGATTGAAGTCGGCCATGACATCAACACCCATCTTAGTTCTGCCCGATTTTGAACTAACATTTATTATTGAATGTGATGCCTCTGGTACAGGAATTGGAGCAGTTCTGTTACAGCAAAATAAACCAGTAGCATACTTCAGCCGATCAATGGCAGCACGCCATCAAAGCCTTCCGGCTTATGAGAGGGAATTGATTGGGTTGGTGAAAGCTATCAAGCACTGGCACTCTTATCTCTAGGGTCAGGAATTTGTTGTTCAAACAGATCACTATACACTCAAGTATCTGTTGGAGCAACGTCATCTTTCATCTCCACAACAACACTGGGTTAGTAAACTTATGGGATTTTGTTTTAAAGTAGAATACAAAGCTGGGAAATCCAATGTTGTTGCAGACGTCTTGTCCCGACGAGACACCGATTAATCTGTTCTCATGGCAGTTTCTATGCCCCAATTGAGCTTGTTTGATGATATCCAAA